TAAGGTTATTTTTGATTGTAGTAATTTGCATATTTGAATTTGAAAAATTTGCTTTTGTCATTTTTAAAAAATAAACAGGTAAACATCCTGTCGGATATTCTTATATAAAGAATATTATAATAAAAAAAAAAGATATTTGATTTTCTGCTTGAATTTTGATTATGTTGAAAATAGAAATATTTGTTGAGCAGTCGTGGCATAAATATTGAAAGAATAATAATAAAGGTTTTGATCAGTAATTGCTTTTATTGTGCTAAAGGAATATATAAGAACATAATTTGATTAAAGTACTGCCTGGCTTAAGGCGTAAGAATAAAAAAAATCAAAAGCATATTTACATAATGTACAAATGTTTTGAGCCGACCGACGGGAAGTACAACAAGTTTTTATAGGGAAGCATGACCTCTGGCGGTCGATTTAACAGAGTATTCGAATTGATAAAATACAACCCTAAATAAAATAATACTTTAATATAACATAATTTTAAATAAAATATTTTAATATAACATTTTAAATAATATCTTAATATATCAAAGCCTAATCAAATATCTTCTAAGGCTACTGTATAAGAAAGTTTTCCAAGAAACTGTTAACTAGGGTCTCCAGCTCTAAATTCTCTTTGATAAGGTTATAGATTATAGGCGCTTAAGGTAACAAGACCACATTCAAATGAATAAATTGTACAGGTAACAGAAATCTGCTAAATTTTAAATTTAAACATACAATTTGAAGAAGTATTATATTAAGGAAATGGGGGGTGTGAGGGAGAGCAAACAATATTGACCATTGGCCACTTTGCTTTATTTGGCCATATGGCAAACCATATAGATCAAACAAAAGGTAAGAGAGCTGCTGCACTCCATGCTCCACATGACATCTCTCTTTTTTGTCACATTGAAAAAAGAGAATTGCAAATGAGAATGTCAAGTGGAATTAAAATAAGAATTTCCCCATCAAGAGAGATCCTTAAAATAAAAGGGAAACATTTACATAATTACAAAAAAAAAAGAAGCTATATTCTAGTTATGCAACTAAATGTTGTAAAAATGGTTCTTATACTATACTATCAGAATCAATCTGTCTTTAGTTTACCTGAAGCCTTCACTTTAATATGCCTTGTTTAATCTTAACAGACAGAGGTAAAGTAAGTGAAAATTGTGAAGGATAATTCCTTTTGAAAGAGTTTTTGTATATTATGGAGAATAGCTTTCTCTATGGAGAGAACCTTGTTATAACAGCCTCATTTATAACAGCAACTTGGTTATAAAATCCTAATTCTAAGATCCCATGTGTAAAGTCTCATTGTTTTAACCAGGGTTATAACAACATAAAATCTTGAGCCCAAGTGTTATTGTTATAGAGACTGGAAAAAGGAAAGAAAACAGTGGAATAATTTGGTTAACCACCTTAAAGAATGGAGTTCAAAATAGAGCAGTGAAGAGGTCAGTCATTCTATTATAGCTCTAACCTCTCTATTGTAAAATAGTCAATGATTATATAGAAAGAAAGGTCATGTTTATAAGGTTATTTCTTTTGAATAGAGTGCTGAAAGGGAACATAAAAGATCTTGATTATAAAATGTACTCGACAATACCTACCCTGAACCAACCCTTGTGTTCCATCAACAGATGGAAGATCTGTCAATACATCTGTTTTGTTAGATCCATTCAAAGGTTTATTCAAAAACTTGAGGTCAGTTTATTATCATTGTTTAACACTGATAAGGCAAAATTTGGATTATAGATTATAAACACAAGGTAATAAGACCTAATCCAAATAAATAGTGTGTGACATTTCAGTAACAGCGTTGTTACCATCTTCAGACAAAAGTACTGAATGACGTTTCGGTAACAGCGTTGTTACCGAAACGTCACACACTATTTATTTATTAGGAGTACAAATAAGTTTTGAGGGATTTTTTTTATAAATTAGAAGCTTTATTCAGAGAAATCAGTACAATATATTTCATTCAAAGTATTGTCCATCTTTAGCTACGACTTTTTCCCATCTTTCAGGCAGCATACGGATTCCGTGTCGAAAAAATTCCTTGTCTTTTGAGGCGACCCAAACATTGACCCAATTTTTCGCCTCTTCGTAAGAAGTGAAGTGCTGCTCGGCCAGGCCATGTGTCATCGAACGGAACATGTGGTAGTCTGAAGGAGCAATGTCTGGTGAATACAGCGGGTGGGGTAGGACATCCCAATGAAGCGCCTCCAAAGTCTCCTTGACAACTTTTGCAACATGTGGCCGAGCGTTGTCGTGCTGATAGATCACCTTGTCATGTCTTTTGGCATATAGTGGGCATTTAATCTTCAATGCTCGGCTTAATCGCATCAATTGTTGTTGGTAACATTCTCCAGTGATGGTTTCGTTAGGCTGAAGTAGCTCATAGTAGATCACTCCGAGCTGATCCCACCAGATGCACAGCATTAGCTTCTTGCCATGAATATTCGGTTTGGCCGATGAAGTTGATGCATGACCGGGCTTAACCCACGATTTTCTGCGCTTTGGGTTGTCGTAGTGAATCCACTTTTCGTCCCCCGTCACGATTCGATGCAAAAAACCCTTCCGTTTTGTCTTTTGAGCAGTAGTTCGCACGTGCAAATATGGCGCTCGATGTTTCCTGGCTTGAGTTCATATGGAACCCAATTTCCTTGTTTTTGCACCATACCCATGACCTTGAGATGGTTCGAAATCGCTTGTTGAGTCACTCCCAAGGTTTCAGCGAGCTCCTCTTGAGTTTGGCTTGAATCTTCATCCAATAAAGCCTCCAACTCAGCGTCTTCGAACTTTATTGGCCTCCCTCCGCGTTCTTTGTCTCTGGTGTCAAAATCGCCACTTTTGAAACGCCGAAACCAGTACTCACATGATTTTATTGATAGAGCATGTTTACCATATGCCTCACACAGCAATCGATGTCCATCAGTTGCACTTTTCTTCAAATTAAAACAAAAAAGCAGCGCGTCCCGCAAATTGTGTTTTGTTGGCAAAAAGGTTGACATGGTTAGAGCACCAAAAAAAAAAGTTCCTTACACTTGAGTGAAAAGACTTCTGATTTTTTTGGGGAAATGATGAAGCCTTAACATGAAACCTTACAAGGTCCGATGCTATTTATATAATATTTGTTGTGGCTTCTTTTGCAAATCCCTCAAAACTTATTTGTACTCCCAATATTTGGATTTGGTCTTATTACCTTGTGTTTAACACAAAAAAAAAAAAAAGAGGACAATTGGCAAGTGGCTTGAAATGCCCAGTTCAGAAATGGCAGTATAGTGCCATATGTAGCTGGTCAGAATGGAATATCAGTTTAGTCTCAAATAAGACCAATGCCGGGGACAATTCTGTATAAGGACTCCTAGAACCGAAGACAGGTTTGTGATCCAAGTTGTCTCCTACAGGAGTTGCCAATCAAGGCTGAGAAGGTTGTTTTTTTTTTTTTACAAGATAAAACAGTTATAGAGCAAATGGAAACATCAAGACACAAATGTTTCTTTTACACACCAATCAACTTTCTACTCTCCTTACTGCGATGGAAAAATATTGGGAGGGCTTGGTACATCAGTGGTGAATCCTCCCAGCGGTTTCACCAATTTAATCTACCAGACCGCTTCTTTGGAGCACTAATACTGTATTGGATCATTATATATACTACACTGAAAGTGGAATCTCAGAAATCGTATTTAAGCAAACTATGGACATAAGCTTTAAGGACTGTAGAATTACATATTACTGAATGAGAACAGAATTACATAAAACTTAGTTCTGACTAAGAAACTCCTATTGCCCTCCCTAGGTTTTGGCCTTAGGTGGCCAAAGTCCATTTGTCAGAGTTTATTTTTTGGGCTTATGTAGCATTTTGTAAGGACAATAGAGGAAACACTTTAATTTTCCTTTTCAACCGCTACAACCCAGGATCGAACCCGCATTAAACACTTTTTCTCTATTAAAAAAAAATTATCCAATGGCCCCCCGATTCTTGCAAAAGTCCAACTCCACTAGTGAGTGCAAGTAACCAAATAGAGCTCTGGAACATTTGTAAGTGAAAAAAAACTGGTTTTCACATGTTGTAGACATTTGGTGCAATAACGGTGAAGGCAGTTGGCAACTACCCACCATGATTATCATGGCCGGTACTGCGTGTACTAGGAATATAATAAAAAAATAAAATAAAAACTTTTTTTATTATTATTCCTAGTACACATGGTACAGGCCATGATAATCATGGTGGGTAGAAGAAGGCAGCTGCTTTTACTGTAAGTGCACCACATGTCTAGATATGTGAAAAGCAGTTCGACTTTGCTCTTACAAATATGCCAGAGTCCTGTTTGGTTACTTGTACTCGTTAGAGAGGTTGCACTTTTGCAAAAATCGGGGGCCATTTGAGCATTTCTTTAATTTGAAAAAAGTGCCCAATGCGGGATTCGATCCCAGGTTGTAAACCAATGGTTCAGACCACCCTTCCACTGACCCCCTAAAAAAAAACCTTAATTGTGAAGTTTGGACCAAGCACATCTCAGCAAGAGTGGATGAAAGTATGAACAAATGAAAAACAAATTAACTCAAGAGTTCAGGTAAGTTAGGAAGGCTATTACTGTAAGCACATTCAAGTAGAAACTTAAACTCCGCCTTTGCCAGTCCCAAGCCCGGATGAAAAAGGAGGAGGGGGAGCAGTAACAAGCTCAGTAAAAAACCTGGGTTCAGCTGGCCTGGCTGATAGTACCCTGTAAGGGCTCCTAATTCAGGGATACAGGATGTCTCTACTCCATGTTAGGAGCTGCTGCACATGGTGTCTGTTCCTCATGTCAGAGGCGGCCATTTCTTTTAGAGTTAAGTCAGCCTGCAACTGAGTAGTGCTCCCAGTCTTAATGACAAAGGCAGACACATTCAACTTCACCCAGTCATGATGGCTGTCAAGAAGAAGTAGAAACCTGAATTTCTGTATGTTAAGGCAAGTACAGTGTTTATAGTATATACACATAACCTTATAGCCATTATAACCACATAGCCTAGTGGACATGGCATCTGCCCGGTAAGCGGAAGGTCGTGGGTTCGATTCCCGCCCCTGGACACTTTTATTTTTCCGTTCGCCATTACTCTTCATATTTTCACCCTTTCATACTTCATCCTTAAAGTTAGAAATAGTCGTTATTTCTCTTTAAAAAAAAAATAAATTTTTATTTTTGTTTAGAAGAGACATTCGCGGTATAATTGCAATTTTCGTTTTACAATCATCAGCCGCGTTATATTGTATTTTAAATTACACATAACCTTATATTTGTTTATAATGATATGGTACAATTTATGTGGATTATAGTTAGAACCACAAGGCAACAAGACTAAATCTGTAAATAGTGTGCGACGTTTCAGTAACAGCATTGTTAGCAACATCATACAAGAAAAGTACTGAATTTTATAGAATTTTTATTGAATACTGAATTCATTTGTTTTCTAATGATGGCAACAACATTGTTGCCAAAAAAAACATCACATACTATTATACATAGAGGTAACAACATTTAATGATGTTATCATTAATGATCATTAGCTAACTTTTAACTATTTGTTAAAATATATAACATTCTTGTGTAATATAGATGCATTTGATGTAATTCCTATTTCATATTAAAATTATTCAATTAGCAATCCTTAGCCTAATATGTAAATCACTTGTCCAAATACATTAGGATATCAAATTTTCAGTGAAAAAAAAAAAAATTGTTCAGTTTTCTAAAATGATAAGTAAATTATATTAATTGTAGTGCACTCAAATTTTATTTTTTTTTACCAAATTTGAATATTCACAAACTTTTTATTTGCATTTATGAATTTAATGTGAATTACCCCATAAAACTAGCTAAAAGAATATTGATTAATAAATCACACCTACCTCTTGATTTGTTTCTTTAAATTTAGCCTTATTATATGTGTCATCATTAACTGAACTTGGTGTATAAGGATTATATGGCTGGTAATAATTCTTTTTTCTTTTTGGAAACTTTCTTTCTGATAGTTCTTTATGAGAATAGGAACTTTGTTTGGTATAGTTCTGTTGATCAGAACTATAATAATGAGAGGGGTAATCTACAGATGTAGCTGGTGGTAAATGGTGATAATCAGACGATTTAGAATTTCGATAATGCTTAGTATATAAAGCTGTATATTCATCTTTATATGAGGATGTCTTACATGATTTATTATAATTTGTTTGCTTGTCTTTATAAGATTTTTCATGTTTTGACTTGTGTGGTTCAAAAGTATCCATGTATAATTTTGGATAGGGTTCTGGAGATTGACTTGAAGATCTACAAGTATTTGGACTTTTTATTTTTCTTTTTTGATACTTATGTTTGTGATATTTGTGATCTTTTGCCTTTCGCTTTATTTTTTCACGCTTTGGTGATGGTGTACAAGAATCTGGTGAGTTAGCTCTCAATGCCCTTAACTTTGCTACTTTGTATATTTCTTTTGAATCCTGAACTGAATTTCTTTTTAAAATTAGAGATTTTAGGGAATGTTTTGAATTCTTATGTTTCTTATGTTTGGTCTTAATTACTAATAATTCATCATCTGTATCGTCTGAAGACGAAGGATCCCTATTCCATGAATATCTTTCATCTCTTTCGGAATCAAATTTTTTGTCCCCATTAATAGACTTCATTCCGTGTTAAGAAATATTATAATCTACAAAACTAAACTAAACCCAAAAGATATATCAAGATATATTCAATGAATTTAAATTTTTCAAATGATAAAAAAATGAAAAATGTAGAAAATAAAGACAAAATAATAACAAAAGATGCAAATCAAGACTTAAAATTTTAAGTTCTTTAAATATTTCCTCGCTAAATATGGTCAAATATGAAAATAATATTTACCTAATCTTTGATGTGTTAAATATAATTATTTTTTTTATAATACATTTTAGTCCTATGTTTATCAGAAAAAAATATATATATATTTTTAAACCGACAAAAAGTATATAACTATTGATATTATTTACATTTATTTTACCTTCAATTTAAAAGAGCCATAGTGCGTTTATTCTATATTTTGCTCCTTTATTTGAATTCATTGATTCTTCTTTTATTTGCGATTAATATTTGATCCATCTTAACAATATTTGTTATAAAGAAACGTGTTTTTTTTTACCTCTTTGCTTTGTATATATTAAAATGTGAGTGTCAACTATGGATACACTCAATCTATGTTTATCATTATATAATCGTGAATTACTAACATGGTTGAATCAAATAAACATACACTCAACACATAAATCGTTAGTTTTTAAAATATATCCCTCTCACACATGCACTAATCCAAATGTTATCATAAAGTAATTTTGAATATAGTTTATGAAAATGATTACAAAACTCAATTGGAAAAATATAACATAACTATTATTACTTGATATTTTTTTGGATACCAAAAAAATCTCACAGGCATTTTTTCAAAAAGTGAAATCTTGCATATCGTATTGAATATATATTTGAATATTTTATAAATATAAAATTTTATAGCCAATGAATAGAGCATTACCTTTTCCATATACACATTCCATTTATTTTTTTAAATGTATAAAATATTTAATTGTTATCTTATCTAATTAAAATATATTGCAGCAAAATATTTATTACCTATTATCAGATTATCATTTCGATATTTTTATTTTGCTACTCTGTAAACTTCCCTTATTGGCTCTCCTTCTTATTTCATAAATTTTAATTTGTTCTTGCCATAAATTGATAAATTTTATGTTGTTCTAATGTCTGTCTTTTCTATTTTTCTACGTGAATATATTATTGCACATGCATATATTAAAATCAAAGAAGGCATATCCTGACCACAAGCACATGAGCTTTTTAGATAGCAGAGCGCCATCTAGAGGAACAGAAATCAACTAAACATTGATTTAACCTGTTCCCTGATATTTGGCCAACCCAATTTCTTAATAAATCAAGAAAAGCCATCCACGAACGCGTGGCTGTTGGCTCTCGTCAACGTGGAGCAGGCTGTACCACTGCAACCAAAAATGTTTAGGTCCCAGAAGTTTCTTGAGAAACCAAGAAATGAGTATTTAAGGTCAAACTTGCGTAAATAAGCTAAGCATGTGAAAAAATAATTGAAAAATAAAATAATAAAAAGGTCAGGCGTTGGTGTTAAAATCAAAGCAGGCATATCCTGACCACCGAAACGTTCGTGGATGGCTTTTCATGATTTATCAAGAAATTGGGTTGGCCAAATATCAGGGAACAGGTTAAATCAATGTCTAGTTAATTTTTGTTCCACTAGATGGCGCTCTGCTGTCTAAAAAGCCTCTTAAAAAATAAATGACCGGCGATATCAAAGACTTTCCACTTTCTTAAGTTTTGCCCATGAGTGTATGAACCTCACTAATAGGGGCGTCCCTATTTAGATGTGCTGATTACACCACATTTCTTTTGATTTGCGAAGTTCCCTTAACAAAAAAAAAAAAGGTTAGCTTCCTCTCTGTAGCGCCTTAATGTTCATGTGTATCACTAAACCTTCACTTAGTTGCTTTCCCTATGCGGGTTGACCTGTGCACAGTTGTTAATCACCTGTATTTTCATTATTTGTTTATTCACCTGGTTGCTCTGAAGGCTCGCTGTTCTAGATGGTCCCCTTGTTCTTATAATTGGATGAAAGTAATTATCTTGCCGTAATGGCGTTCTCCAGTCACCATCACAATCATCAGTAGATTTCCATCAGTACTGTTGTTTATGTTGTTTTGATCATTTGATCACGCAGAATGCAACTGAACTAAGTATTTATTTATTAACATCTATTTTTTATGACATGGTTATATATCTAAGAGTGTTTACAAGTCGAGTCGGCAGTGTTGCCGGATCAATCATAACATGTTTCCTTTAAACAAAAATAAAAAAAGGATTGCAGTTCTCCTAGTCTCTATAACGCAAAGGTTTTCTCACTGTTCTGCCACTGCGGGTTCGCACACTAGGAGAAATAGATGATTCTTCACCTTTCTTGGCAATGGCCTCCCTTGGATCATATGCTCTTCTGTTTTCGGAAGTGGGTCTTCCGTGATCTTGTATGTTGTCATCCATGGCTGTCCCTGCTTGAGATCCAGGAATGCTTGGACTTTGACTTGTTGGGGCAGAATCTTCTACACTGAACTTTCTCGGTCTAAGGTGAGACCTGTTCCTGCGGTATTCAGACCCACTTGGTGTTTTCACCCTATATGAGCGTGGAGTTTCATGCTTTGCGGACACTGTTGCCGGAACCCATTTTCTATGCCTTTCCTGCAACATGATGTTGTCTCCTATTTCCAAAGGTCTCAAAATTCTCTTTGGAGTTTCTGCATACTTTTGTTGATGGTCTCTCAATTTTTGATAATTCTTTGTTGTGTCAAACAGTGGTTTCAACTGTTGTCGGGTGTATGTCGAAAGAGTTCTCACAGATCTTCCCATAAGCATTTGGGTCGGAGATGGCAAGTCATACTTAGGTGTGTTGTTGAACTCCATCAAAGCCAGATTGGGATCTCTTCCTGACTTCACAGCTTTAATTATCAGTCCTTTGATGGTTTGAATTGTCCTCTCAACTTGTCCATTAGATCTTGGATATTTGGGACTGGAGGTTTGGTGTTTGAATTCATATTTCTGAGCAAAATTTTTGAATCCAGTAGAGTTAAAAGGGGGTCCATTATCTGAAACTAGAGTTCTTGGAATTCCATGAGTCCTGAAAATGGTTTTCAACTGCATGATGGTTTCGGTTTCTCTTTTGCTTGATAATTTCCGGATTTCAACAAACTTTGAGTGGTAATCGACAACCAAGATGGAACTGGTTCCACTCACCTCCATGAAATCTACAGCAATTTTTTCCCATGGAAATTCAGGGATTTCATGAGCTATTCTTGACTCCTCAGGATTCTTTCTTGAATATTCCTGACATGTTCTGCACTTTTCCACTTCATTTTCTACTTGTGTTATCATGCCGGGCCAGTAAAATGCTGATCTTGCTTTTTCTTTGGAAGCTGCTATACCCTGGTGTGATGAATGAACAACCTGCAGGATTTCTTTTCGAAGAGTCGA